GAACCCAAGCGTGCTGGGTTCGCAAGGAACCCAAGCGTGCTGGGTTCGCAAGGAACCCAAGCATGTAGGGTTCGCGTCTAGGTTCCTACAAACCCAGCACGCTTGGGTTTCTTGCGAACCCAGGTGCAAAAAATTTTTTTAAAAAAAATTTTTGTTTTTGTTTTTTGGATTTTGTTGTTTGATTGTGATGAAAAATTGATTGATGAAGATGAAGAAGGCAAGGCAAGGCAAGGCAATTGCTGGGTTACTGCAGGTGTTGGGTTCGATGCTGGGCTTGATTTTTCAATTTTGAATGCTAGGTTTTTGCAGGTGCTGGGTTTGTTTGCAAGTGCTGGGTTTGAAATCAAACCCAGTAGGCGGTGGGTTTGAGCAGCCACTAAGTTCCTGCAAGTGAGGCTCTCGGTTTCGTTTCAAACCCAGCAACTGTTGGGTCAAATATCTATTGAGTTTAATCTGTTGATTTGTTGTGTTATCCTCGAATTTAATATTAGGAGTTAGGATTGCAGAAGGTTAAAGGAAAGGGAGAGGAAGAAGAAAGGGAAAAAGAAAAAACAAACGAAGAAAAAAAAAAGGAATAAGAAATCTTTTAAGATTTTTTTCTTGCCATCTCATTTTTTTGTCACACTGTACATCCTAGGTGTCAAAATGTTTTTACATGTCATTGTTTTCCCCGTCAAGTAACGGGACACGTAGGTTGATATTTGACGGAAGGACCAAATCAGGGTAAAAATGGTAAACAGTATGGACAAAATCAGAGATTTTTTTAGTTCATGGACCAAATCAGAGGTCCTTACAATAGTTCAGGGATCAAAAAGGGGTTTTAACCAAAAGAAAATGATTACTGTATATTTTAGTTGAGAGAAATGGAGGGAAGGGAAGAGTAAAATGATTTTCTATTTGATTATAAAAAAAAAAAGAATTGGAAGAAAGGGAAAGGAAGGGAAAATTTTTCTTGATTTGATTTTTTCTCTTAATTTGTTAACTTATCTAAATAAAGGAAGGAAAGGAAAGGAAAGGGAATTTTATCTCATTCCCCTTCCTTTTATTCCCTCTCTTTCATTTTCATCAACCTAAAAATGTTATAAGGGACAATTTTTATTCTACAACTTCTATTATACAACTTTTCATATAACTTTATATATCATTTAATGATTTCCTCATTTTACTTTACTAAAACTCATTATATTGGATGCATTTATTTATTTATTGACATTTAAAAGTTGTAAGAAAAAGTTGTATAAATATGTTGTTCATATTTCAATACCTTATTTTAAATTAAACTACAATTAAAACTTATCAAACCAATCCAAAAGGTTAACTTTTAATATTTTTCAATACGAAGGTGATAATCAATTGATCAATTTTCCTTTCTTATCATGCGCCAAGCTAAGTCGTTTTTTAGTGTGGCTCCCTTGACAATTGATTCTGGGGTGTGGGTAACCAAATTCACCCCAAATGTCTAAGTACCCCTATAATCTTAATGTTAAGTTGTGGTTGTGAGCAAGGTTTTAAATCTCGACCCAGCGATCAACTTGTTTTAGCCACTAAGTTTGGTTCAAGTGGTCCCTCGTCCTTCTTGCGCTTGAAGCATGTAACGGCTAGCAAGAATAAAGGCTCTCGGAGCGCGCTTTCAACATGTAAAATTATGGAAAAATAAAAAGACCTAATTCCTTTCCCTTTCCCTCTCCCCTTCTTAGGTGAACCTGTTCCATTTTCTGAATCCAGGAGTTGTGATGTCTCGTCCTGATATGGATTACCTTCTCTGAAACGGCTTTAATGGAATATGCGTAGGGCAAAGAAAGGTAAGTTCATCTAACCCAATAGGCAAAGGCCTTAATTAAGTGAGGGCACTCCGTTTCGTGGCTTAAACAGCTCTATTTTCAATATGCTCCACCGTTAGAGAAGAAAGGAATAACATTAATATAGACCCTATGAGCAACTAGAAACCATCCGGTTTGGAAGCTCCAAGGAGGAAGAAATTAAATAGGATTCCATGAGTAGGCACTAGTTCAAGAACCTACACTCGTTCTAGCAAGTGAGTTTGAGGTTTTGGTAGTAGATGGAATCGAAACTTCTTTTGTCTGCCCTAAGGTAAGATCTATTCACTTTTCGACCCCTCCCTCAAAGTTGTTATGGAAAGCCATTCGAGGAAACCTTTCCTACTACTAATAACGAGAATGGAAATTCTTTTCTTAGGGATGAATGAAATGAAATTTCCCTTCCTAGGACACAAAGGCAGACGCCCTAGCCAGTCTCATAGCTTCTCTATCTTTACCAAGAGAATAGAATCCATGACGGTTACGGTCTATGAGAAAAGAATCTTTCCATCACTCAATACAAAAGTAGGCTAAACAACTAAGAAAGCAAGCATTGGCAATCCCCATGTGGCCCAATGGTGGCCACACTGCCCATTGAGCAGTAGGTGAAATGCACGCTGAGCATGGATTCGACTCTCTCAAAAAACAGATACTAACTAACCTAACCTGCATTAAAAAGTAATTGATAAGCCACATAGCAATCAGTTTCCACAATAATAGAATTAAAGTGCAAGTTGATAGCAGTCTGAAGGCCATCTCTTATGGCCCATAATTCTGCAGCTAAGGCAGAGGTACAACTTTCAATCCGATGCTACTTGAGAATCCTATCGCAACTCTTAATATTGTAAATCATTGTTTTACAGAAAAGTAAAGAGTTGAATAGTGTATTATATATATACCATAGAATGCAATGCTAAGGGCCTAAAATTTACCGGCTTCTTCATATATGCTGCTAGAATAATATGCCAATCCACTTATGCCTTCTAATTGTTGCAATGCCATTAGTACAACCCCAACCTGAACGAATTCCAACATTAATCCCCAAGAATTATTAATGGATCAGTTGGTTATTATCAAGCTCACAAAGAGTGAAATCTCCTTTGAAATAGCTCCAGAAATCTAGCTTCTGTTTCTTGCCGAGAAGTTTCAATATAATCCTGAAAAAGAAAGAAAAGGAGATACTTTTTCTAACTAAACAAGGATAAAACTTTATATATACATTTCTTTTCTGATAAGTGAAGAAAGAAACAAATGCAATAAGCTGAAATGCTACTCTGATATCTGCTGCTTCCCCAGATATATCCGCGTCCTCTCCTCTTAGATGCTGCAGAGAAGTTTCAAACTATTTATCCCTACCAACTTTTGCCTGCCACCAAGCGGGTAATCTTAGAGCATTTTGATTTTTCTTTGTAGCACTAACTTGAAAAATAAAAAATAAAGTGCAGTTCATTTTAATATTTGGCTAAAAATTTTTCTGTCTTTAAAAGCATCAGAGGAAAGAGAACAACATATTGATCAGGATTACAGAATAACTCACCAGCCATCTAGGGGATTCTGGAATAAAAAACAGACCTATTATCTGTGCTATACCTGAAACAACACCTAAAGAAAAAAGAGTTAAACTAGACACTAATGAACCTAAATTTAAAGGCATTGTGGAGAATTGTCCAAACCTTCAAAATTAAAACTTCTTCAGAGAGAGCTTGAAAGCTTCCAGTTTCCAATATTGCTAAAATGAAAAAAAGTGACATTGCAAGAAAATTCCCACTAATACGGGGTTCAGTAGTTTTGGTTGAGGAATGGTAGGGTCATTTTTCAGACATGAGAGAGGAAGAAAATCTCGTTTGACCATTACAGATGTCTTTCTCAATTTCCAGCGGCGGTGCCACACTTCCACCGTCACCGGCAACGCCACAACCACCACCATTTCAAGCCAAATTCCAGTCTCTAAAGCCTCCCTAGCCTCAAAACAAAAATTCTTCTGATTCTAACCGAAACCCAAATTTCCCGATTCAAAACTTTGAAATAATAAACTCGCAAGCTTTGAGATTGAAAATCAAAATCAGAGAAAAGAACACGGAAATTAAACCCAGAATTTGTTCACACACTCCTCAGCTGACAAGCCCAGCACCCCATACTCGCTTACCTGAAAGGATTCCAAGCTGATGACCTCAACCACATCTGCTTCTCCCTATCTTCGATCGAAGCATCTACATCCAAAGAAAGGATTCGAACTCGATGACCTCAACCACATCTGCTTCTCCCTATCTTCGATCGAAGCATCT